AGACAAGGACTGATTCATGGACCCTGAAGGTTTTCTGGTAGCTGTAGCTGAAGAATGAATCCTGGGATCTTTTCCTGGGAGTCATGGGCTCCTGTTGATGCATGCTGAGTTCTGTTTTGAATTTGCCCTTGGAGAGAAGGTGCCACATTTACAATGAAAACTGGCAATCTTGGGGGAAGATGGCTGGGACTGGGTTGGGTTCAGAAGCTCTGCTCTCCAGGCTCATATCAGGGGTCACCCTTACACTGGAAGCAAATGGGTGTCATGAACAGGATTTGCACTGGTCCTCGCTGGTCCCAGTGATCATTTTGAAGCCAAAGGTGAAGAATAAGAATTGATGCCTTTAAAAGTCACTAAAAAGTTACATTACAGGCTGGTGTACTTGTCACTAAATCAGTGAGTATATTTTTAGAGAAACTAGAAAAGTATCTCATTGCAGAAGCAGGCTCTGGATCCAATCTCAAATGTGGGGAGGACAGAATGTGATTGGGGATAGATAATCCTTAAAGTTTGGAGCATGGAGGAAAACAAGAGACCGATTTCAACTGCAAAGTCTCTTTTCTGGGACAGAAATATGGAAGAACTACCTACTGGTAGAACTTCTCCCAGCTTTTCGGCTAGAAAGGCAGCTTACAAAAGAGAGTTGCTTCAGAGAGCAATACCCAGGCATGTGAGTGGCACTTCTAGATCCAGACACCCCCTCCTTGAGGCAAAATGAGAAGGCACTAGATCCCCAACAGATATGGTGGAACTGCACCTATTTGCACATAGAAGACACTTGTCAAGAACATTTCAGGTCGATTTGGTGCTATCATTTGGGGATGAGGACCAGTCTTTGAAATATTCTGGCAAGAGTTGGCCCAATAGCAATTTATGAATGTGTTGGCTGGGCTAAAAATAGCAGGGCTCATAATAATTTCCATTTCCCAGCTGTGAATTAATTGTGTGGGTGTGGACCTTGACTGAATCATGCATGCCCCACTGGCCAGCCGCAAGAGTAGATGCATCTGGTGGTTTCTGCAGAGCCACCAACAGAGTGAGGACTGGTTACACATCAGCCAGTGTGAGGACACCCAGGCTTGCATTTTCAGACTTCCTCCTCCTTGCACTGGGACAGGAAAGGCTGCTATCGAAAGTGTGGTTTGTCTCCTGGAGAGCCCAGTAAAATCGATCCCTCCGACTCCACAGGGAACAGCAGAGGCATATTACAGCCTGAGAGTTTTGCAGATTTTGACAGATTTTGTTCTTATTCCTTATTTTGCAATTCCTGTTGCAATCACAAGGATTATGATTTAAGACACAGTGCCACTATAGTTCAGGCTCTTGATGGTGAAAATTTAATTATGAACAATGATTTTCATTTTTTTAACCTTTACCTGAAGATATGTTTCCACTGATTTTTAGAAAGGGGTGTGTGTGTGTGTGTGTGGAGAGAGAGAGAAGGAGACATCAACTGGTTGCCTCCCATATGCACCCCAACCAGGGATTGAACCTACAACCTATAACCCTTGAGTGCACAGGGCAATGCTCCAACCAACGAGCCATGCAGCCAGGGCATGAACAATGTTTTTGTTGTTGTTTTTAAGATTTTATTTATTTATTTTTAGACAGAGGGGAAGGAAGGGAGAAAGAGAGGGAGAGAAACGTTAATGTGTGGTTGCCTCTCATGTGTTGCCAACTGGGGACCTGGCTTGCAACCTAGGCGTGTTCCCTGACTGGGAATCAAACCAGCGACCCTTTGTTTCACAGGCCAGAGCTCACCCCATGGAGCCACATCAGCCAGGGCTGAACCGTGATTTTTTAAAAAAAGAATCTGGTAGCATAATCATGTGACCAGGTATGGAAGCATAAGGATATATTGTTGTTACCGCCTCAAAAAATAAAAAAAACAGGCTATTCCACTACTGTTGAAAGATGAAAAAGTATAATAAAATCAATTGTATATTTTTTGTTTCCCAAAGTTATATAAGATTCCCTCCCCCCCAAAATTCTAATATCTTAAACTAGCAGCAACTCCCATGCACATTACATGATTCAAATTAGTAGAGTGTGCACTCACATTTTCCAAGTGACATCGGGACTATTTTTTCTTAAATAGTAGAAAAAAACAAAAATAGTAAGTTGTATTTCTACTTGTAGATAGAAGGCTCTGTCTGGCTGCCACAGTGTGCTTGTACACCCCTCAGGAGCCAAGTGTGGTCTGGGACATCCAGGAGGGTCTCCCACAGGGAGTCTGGATTGCTTGGTTCCTCTTCCTCCTTGTCACAGTCCTAACATGTGCCCCCTGCCCAGCTGTTTTCTGAGTCAGACTGAGGGAATCAGTGGTTAGAGGGAGAGGCTGAGGCAGAGGCTGCCTTTGGCTGACCTAAGTCACAAATTCTCCATGGCCCACACTCTCCAGAAAACATCATAGACAAGTATGGAAGTCTGCAAAGCACCCAGAAGCCCATTCTTCCAAATAAACTGTTAGAAATCTAAGTTTCTTCAACAGTAAAACCTGTTTTTCCCATCAGGTAACTCTCTGGGTCCCCAGTGAGGGGTGTATGAGAGGCAACCACACATTGATGTCTCTCTCCCTCTTTCTCATTCCCTTCCCCTCTCTAAAAATAAAATCTTTAAAAATTACCATTTTGACATGCAATTGAGATAAGTGGTTAAGATATCACATCCTTTTCCCACATGAACTCTTTTAATCTGGTATGTATTTTGCATTCACAGCACAGCTCACTTCAGACTGGCCAAGGTTCAAATGGTCCTTAGTCACATGTGGCCAGCGGGCACCATCCTGAACAGCTACACCTAGGGCATCTGCGGATTCCATGTGTTTCTGGCTAAACCTATGTTCTCAAATCACTCTGGGCACGGGGTTCCACTTCCATGCATTAGTTCAAGTCTGTTGGTGGTCTTTTTGAAATTTTCCATAGCTTTATAGTTTTTTCCCCACTCAATTGAGATATAACAAAATGTCACAACGCTACTGGAATGCATTGATTTCTAGTCATCCTATTAACTTTCATTCCTTTTGAGACTATGTTGTTTGGTGCATCCAAGTTTAGAGGGTTTTGTTTTGTTTTGTTTTTGTCATCCTGGTTATTTCTGATAGTGCCTTTTAACTCAAAATCTATTTTGTTTTGTGGTTAGTGTGGCTAAACTTAGGTTTCTTGGGGGTTATTTTCCTAGCAATCTCTTCCCACCCTTTTACTCTCCCACTTTCTGAATCTTTAGTTGGAATATGTGAGCATCACGTAAATAGCACATAAACATTGTTTCCTTCTTAAGCCTCTTTGTGATAATCTTGCTAGTTCCTATTCTTTCCATAACTAATCTTACTAAAAACATAGTTAGGAATTTCCCCTATTGTGAACCAACACTAAGCTTTTAGGTTTTACTAATATAAAGAAAATCCTGCCATTAATGAAACATTTGCCCAGGGCTGACCCATTTCATCCTAAAAGCCACTCCTTGATCTCATAGATAAGAATACTAAGGCACAGAAAGAGATCACCTGCCCTTAGTCACTCGGGTGTAAAGCCCCTGACTGTGTGCCCTGGTCCGTGTTGAGTTCTTGGGAGAGGTCAGGGAAGGCTTCCCCAAAGAGGTGGTTTTTCTGGATAGGTCCTGATGGATGAGTAGGTATTGAACCCCCATGTCGAGTAGGGGAAGGGCATCCTGGGCAGAGATGGAGGGACCAGAGAGCTTAGTGTGCTGAAGCACTGGCATTAATGGTAACTAATGTCCACAGAGCACTAATTATGGTCCCAGAGGCCTAAGTATTCAACCTCGTCACTGACATTTTGGACAAGTTAGGTTCTTTGCTGAGGGGGCTGTCCTGTGGGCTAATTTCATGACATTCCCAGCCTCTACTTACTGGATGCCAGTACCTCCTAACCCAGGGGCGGCGAGCAAAATAATCTCGTGAGGGTCCACTGCTCTAACCCTATGAGGGCTGTACTATTCTCACTTCTGTCTTATAGGTGAGGAAGTGTAATGTGTTCAGTTACACAGCTAGGATGGAAGTCCCAGGGCCTGAGTCAGGTGCCTCTGTCCTCAACCACCACACCCCACCCCACAGCCAGCTTCCTGCCTGAGCTCTGTATTCAGTAGGTTGCAGGTACCAGGAGGCAAGCGATGTAAGCTAGGAACAGCTCAGGAAGGGCCTTGAATAGCTTGCCTGCTCTGTGCCAGGCCTTATGCCCACTGATGCTGGTGTCCCAGATTCAAAACCAACCAAACCCCTAACTCAGGGTGTTCCCAACCCAAAGAGACAATGAAACAGACAGAGACAGCCACAGCCTAAGGTGACAGGGCCTATCACAAAGTGAGGGACCAGAGGCTGTGGGAGCCCACAGGTGTTAATCCAGTGCAGGGGAGGAGGGATCCTGTAGGCTTCCTGGAGACAGCCCATCCAAATGGATACCTGGTTGAGAAATTGAGATCAGTGTGATGGGGGAGGGTGGGGACAGTCTTCAGAAAGAGGAGACAGCATATGCAAACACCTGGCAGAAGAAGCTATTTCACTGGCAAGTGGGTGCCCTGCCAGAGGTTCAGTCATGAGATGAAGCTAGAAAAGTCGTCAGGGGGCCAGTTCACAAACACCAGACTGAGGAACTGGACCATTACCATGTAACCAAGAAGCTGCAGACAGTCATCTGCCTTCCTGACACCGACACAGCCTTTTCCCCTCAAATATTAAACTAATGTGTTGCAACAAATGAGATGTCAAATGTTTGCAAAGCACCCACAAGAAATCTCCGCCCAAACTATGCCCACTGGTGGGGAAAACTGGCCCAGCTCTCAGCATGGCCAACTACCACTACCCCAAATAACTGACATGGAGAACCAAACCACTGCCACCCACCCCCCACCCCTCCCTTCACAGCACTTACATACTGCCGGGCACCAGTCCTAATGCTTTACATATGTAACTCATTTAGTTCTTCCCACAATTGCTACCATCACCCCCCACTGGACAGAAAGCACAGAAAGGTTAAGCCACTTACTCAAGGTCACACAGAGAAGGAGGCTTAGTCACTCAGGGAAGGCTGACTTTCACATCCTCTTTTCTTCATGGATCCCCAGTGTGATGTGAACCGTCTTTTTCACTAACTTCTCACTCAAAAGTATGTGAGTCATGTGGACACATGCTTACATATTAAGGAAATGTTGAAAGCAGGAGACTAAAGTCAACACAGAAACACCCGAATCTGTACACTAGTTTTTGGACAGACGACCAAGGTACAGCAGAACACCACTTAGGCCAGGGTTCCCCAACCTTGGCACGAGTACTGTTTTTGGCCAAGTTACTGCTCTGGGAGGGCCTCCTGTGCACGGTATTCAGCGGCATCCCTGGCTCTACCTACCTCATACCAGTCACGTCCTTCCCTTTCTCCCTAGTTGTGATAACCAAAAATGCCCCTAGCCATTGCCAAAACTTCTCTGGGGGGTGACAAAAATCACCAACTGAGAACTGATGTACACTATCTGTAGATTGCCTAAGGTTTTAAAACCCCCACCTCACTGCCTGCTTTACAAGAAACCTTAGGCCTTTCCCAGAAAAGGAAGCCTTCCCCAATTATGAGAATTACATGAGAGGAAGACAGTGAAAGTTCACTGTTCGTTAACACGCACTTTCCATGTTAACTCATTTACGTTCCCAAACACTCTAGAGCAGGTACTAGTACTGTCGTCCCCACTTCCCAGATGAGGAACCTGAGACGTGCGTGGGATGCCCAGCGCAGTGTCTGGCACATGCTGACTGCTCATTAAGTGCTGTTGCCCGCCTTCCGGCCGCCCAGGTCCTGGCTGTAGTGCTTGTAGCCTCTCTGCTCCTGCAGGCCCTGACTCAGGTGCCTCTACATCAAGCTTTGTCATCCCTCCCTCCCTGACCAGGCCTGATACACCTGCGCCTCACAAGACGGGCCCCAGGAAATGGTGAACAAATGAATGAGTCTGATGACCAGGATTCAACCCCTCCGACAGATGCCCTTCGCTCTCAATCCTCCCTATCAAGGGCTTCTCAGGGATAGACGCAAGAGAAACTCAGAAAATAACACGCAGGAAAGGGGCACTTTGGGGGCTGGAAGGAGGCTAAGGGCTCGGACCCGGATAGGTGCTCTGATTTTTAGTTTTGGGGGCTGTACCCCGGAAAACGCTCCCTTTCACGGGTCTCACCTGCCCTCCCTCCTGACGTCCGCCTTTAACTCCACGAGGCAGAAGGCGCGCGCACTGGTTACCGACCCACGCCTGCCCACTGGGTCCACACCCCGAGTCCGAGGCGAGTGTAGAGAACCGCAAACCATCCCATCCGCGCACTCACTCTACTGCCATGCGGGGGCTGCGCGCGCCACGGCCCACCCTGGGTCCCCTCGGAACCCGGCCAGAGCGCGCGCCGCCTCTCCTTTTCCCGCCCCACTCCTTTCTCCGCCGCCCCAAGCCTCCCGACCCGCACCACAAACTCTATCATTCTCCCAAGAAAGCACCAAATCTGAAAAACAACCACTCCGGCTTTGAAATACACTGCACAGGACAATGCAGGCAGAGACGCGCGCACACACACAACAAACGCGGCTCCAACTCCTGCGCAAGCGCAGAGGAGAAAAGAGCAAGCCTGGCCTGAAGCCCTTCGTGAGCTCCGGCAGAGCTCGTGACGTCACCAGGAGGCCCGTTGTCTGAGAAATGTAAGCGTTTTGGACGTTCTGCCGCAAAAGCACTTGGGAGTTGCAGGCGGGTGGACCTGAAGCCTTCTGGGAGTCGTAGTCTGTTCAGCCACCTCCGCGTTTTCTGGGAGCCTGGACCTTCCACCAGCGCAGATTCAGCTGAGGTGAATGTTCCCTCCCGCGCGGGATGGTCCTGGTCCTTTGTCGCGCTGTCCGTAGGAGCTGATGGTCTCCATAGCTCTCTCTCAAGTATCCTGTACGGATCCCTGCAGACGTGGCACTCCCCTCCGCGATCCCTACGAAGGCCCTCTGGGTGGGAGGGCCCTAAGCAGCCACTGTCCCAGCTGACCCGCTTTGCACTCAGCGGCTGCGTGCAGTGCGAGCGCACTCTCCTCTGCCTGGGCTACAACCTACAGTGGTCAGGATTGGCCAAGGGGGCGATCCAGGCGGCCGTTGGAGCCCAGGGGAAGCGCCAGACCCAGCCCTGGGTTCAGGCAAGACTTCCAGAGCAAAGGGCCTCAATTCTACCATGCCCAAATGAAATTCCAGATTCTCTGCCCTAAACCTACCCCTCTCATACGAGTTCCCCGTTCTTACCTATTTCTCGCCTCTTCCCCACCAAATGGTCCCACTGTCCTTCCATCTGTTCATGCCAAAACCTTGGGCTTGTCCAGAGTTTTCCGTTTCTCCCATCCCCTTCCCTCCCCCAACCACGTCTTGTGTGAATCCCATCTGCTCTATTTCTAGAAGAGATCCAGAATCTCACCACGTCTCTCTACTTACACTGCTTCCCCTCTGCTCCGGGTGGCTCCTTGTTACCTAGTGGGTCACGGCAGGAGCCTCCTCAGTGGCCTGCCCTGGCCACTGTCCATGTCTATTCACACCCCGCAGCCTGAGGGATCTTGTTAACATATAAATCAGATCCGGTCACTCCACAGCTTAAAACCATCCAGTAATTCCTACCTCATTAAAAAAAAAAAAAAGTCCAAGCTTCTTATCCGGACAGCCGTCCAGCCCCCCCCGCCTCTCTTCTGGTCAGCTTCAACACATTTTCCAACCGAGTACAGACAGGCCCTTCCCTTCCTTCACTTGCTCGTAACTCGCTCGGGCACATTCTTCCCCTCCTGATCTAATGCCTGACTTCTCATTTTTCTGGCTTCATCTCAGGCGATAATTTCCCCATCTTACTCCTTGTATTTTTTAATGTGTCTTGGTTATTTCTTCCTCACCCATGGGTTGGTTCCGTCACTAGAGCTTTTTGCCTGCAGCCTTTCCCGTTTGTCCGCTACGGGGTCCCCAGTGCCTAGGATCCACTGAGTTGGTGTTTGTGGAATGAATGGAGGCCGAAGCTGAGATGGGAAGGTGCCTGGCCTGCACAGTGCTGAGGGAACAGTGTTCCAGGCAGTGGATTTACTCTGGGTGCTGTCCACGTAGCCTCTCCAGAGGCAATGTCCCCACAATTCTGAGTCGACCTGTGACCCGCTTCCCTTCTCTCCCAGTCCAGGAAAAGCTGACCCCTCTTATCCAGCTGGACCCCGCAATGCCTGCCCCTCAGTGCGCCTCCTGCCGCAAGGCCCAAGCCGCCCTGTGCCGCCCGCGCTCAGGCCAAGCGCTGTGCGGCACCTGCTTCTGCACGGCCTTCGAGGCCGAGGTGCTGCACAAGGTGGCTGCGGGCGCCTGCTGCCTCACGGCGCGGTGGTGGCCATGGGCGCCTCGGGCGGCAAGGACTCCACGGCGCTGGCGCACATGCTGCGCGAGCTGGCGCCCCGCCTGGGCATCTCGCTGCAACTGGTGGCTGTGGACGAGGGCATCGGCAGCTACAGGGACGCGGCGCTGGCCGCTCACCGGCGTGGCCCACGCCAACCTCTTCAAGGGCTGGACGATGGACACCGCGGCCCGCAGCACGGCCAGCACTGGCCGCAGCCGCTCCTGCTGCACCTTCTGCGGGGTGCTGCGGCGCCGGGCGCTGGAAGAAGGGGCACGTCTCGTGGGAGCCACGTACGTTGTGACAGGTGAACTCACACGCTGGGATAGGAGAAACTGTGGGAGGATCAGGCGCATGCTCAGGCAAGGGTGGGTGCTGGAAGGAGACTGAGGCTCGTACCCAAGAAGTGAAAAGGCGACCCTGGGTATGTCATAAGTGGTGAATCTCAGTATTGTTCAGGGCCACGGTAGGTGCGCGGCCCTCAGATGGTGTAGGGCAGGCGTGGCAAGATTTTGAGTCACTATCATCACCTTGGTGCACACTCGCGCGCGCACACACACACACACACACACACACACACAATGGCAAATGGAGAGCCGGGGGGTTCCTCTTAGAGCTGTGGTTCTCTTCTCTGCATTTTTAAATGGCATTCTTTAGGTTTCCCTCACAAAAGGAGGGGTGTGCAAGGGTGTCTCCCATCTGTCGTCTCCAACACAGCGGTGTCTTTTAACTCCTTTTCTCTTTCAGCTTCACCTCTCTGATAACTCTCTTGTTCTCTTCCAGCCATTACTTCAACAAATGACTATTGGCCATTTACTGTGTGCCAGGTACAAGCTGTGTAGTCCAGAGCAAAGTTCCTAGCCTCGGTTTCCTCTTCGGTTAAACGGGGGCATTCATACCATCTCAGTCCCGGGGATGCTGAGAACTAGGTGTGTGAAGCACTCAGACCAGAGGCTGAAAGCAGTGACCGTGATACAAGCCTTTGCTCTTGCGCACAGCACAGTCCCTGCTCCTGCCCGGTTCTCACGCGCTCACTGTAACCTGGGTGCTAATCAGGAAGATGACGCTGTGGGAGTTTGCGGCAGGAGGCCCTAGTGGGAGGAGAAAGGTGGGGACTAAGGAAGCATTTCCTGAGCGAGCCGGGACCTGAGGGCTGCGCGGGTAACCAGTGAGGGGTGAACGGAGGTTGGAGAGACGGTTCTGAGCAAAGGAAGCCGCTGATGCAAAGGCCCCGAGGAGAGGATGTGGGGCCGATGGAGAAGCCCCGGGAAGAGCAGGGTTTTACTGCGGAGACTCGGGTGTGGGATGGGAAGATGTGGAGGAAACAGGGATGTGGCTGAAATCCTGTGGCGACTGTTGTGTGGTCACTGTCCCCCATCTGCCTTCACAGGGACACCTGTGTGGGCAGCGCTGTGGAGAGTTTCCATTAAGTGCGGTTTCAACTCCTCCCGTGCGGTCTGAAGCACACTTTTAACCGAGATTGGCAGGATGTTTGTAGGGTAAAGCACGTTACCGCCTCTGTGAAAGGGCATCTAGCACAGGGCCTCCCCGGCCTGGTCAGTGGGTGGCGGTGAGGGCACCCCAATTGCTCCATGGGAGCCTGTGTATGTCCCCTCCTGTGTCTCGCTGTGCCTGCCTTGTACCTTCACTAACTGCCCCATGGTCCCCGGGATCTCCATGGCCTGTACCCCTTGCCCCTACCTGCCAGTCTCTTTCTGAGTCCTCACTGCCCCAGAAGTTTTTTGGGGGGAGGGTGTCC